TCTAACTCTTAAATTGCTCTAAATGTTAAAAGTATTAATTAACCTCAAAGCTAATTTTAAAAATTTTTAAGGGTACAATGTAAGATACAGAAATAACACACAAAAAATAGCTTATTAATTATGTTGAGATACACTATTACAAATTATTTTTGTCTGAAGTCAGCATGTCTTTATGTATAATAAATCTTGAATGTTTTTCAAGTACAATATCTCCTGCCTTGGCCTGCCTATATCATTTAAAAGCCTGTATAAATTGTTGGTATTTATTTTTTTTAATCCTGGATGCGAAAATTGAGTAAACACAATTCAGTGGAAAGTTCTAGTTGTTTGTTGGTTTTGTTTTTTAAGATACCTTTTTCTTCCCTGAAAATATCAAAGCTTTGTATTGTGCACTGCTTTCCTTTAGCAGCTGCATAACACCAAGACACGTAAGTTTTGTCGTATGTTGTAAGATATACAAGTCATTGTTCTACATTGTTAGTTCTTACTTTGAAGTTCTCATTTATTGTTTACATCCTTCTCCCCCTTCCTCGCTTCCTCCCTCCCTCCCCCATGTATTCATAGACTTGGAAAAAAATCTGGCAAGCAAACAAGTAGTGTTTTGTCAAATATCCAAAAAACCCCATCTCTGAGTGTTAAACCTTCACGGTGCCCCCTCTGGCCTAAGGGTGATCGCTGTAATGAAGACAAGTGAACAGTGATCAGTAGTTCAAAGCTATCTCTGATAAATATTGTTAGTCTACTTATTGATTTACTTTTAAATCAGGTATTTAAATATTTCTACAAATGTTTGTAAATGGTGACAAGATTAATGTTTGTCTTCTAGCATGAAAAACGGAGATTTCACCTTTATTTTGCCAAAGATTTATGACAGTTGCAGATTAGCCTATTGGTTTTAGTTTGACAGTTGTTATTTAAATTTTCATAGCACCTAACCAGTGCTATGAAAATACAGGACAGTGATACAATGAAAACCCATTCTCAGGTAACTATTTGCTGGTTTTGGTGGTGTTTTGTTTTTTTAAATTAGGAAGAAAGTGTGACTATGCACATAAAAGCAGTTCTGTTGATACCACCCTTCATGGCTTTAAATAACAGGGACAGCACAGATGTTTGACATCAGTAATGTTTACATGGCCTTAGGGTTTAATTGCCTCATACTCTTTGTAAGGAGAATAAACAATGACAGAAATCCAAAGGAATGATGTTCAGGCAACAGCAATGGCTGCATTTCATACATAGTTGCGAACTTCTCAACTATAGCTAAATATCTACACTTTTTTTTTTGTCTGAGTGGTAACATGCGCTAAGTTTCATCTTCTCTAGGGCCTCTTAACTGGTAAGAAAAAGTATTGAAAATGAGGAGCATGAGCTCAATTAATTGCTTCTAACTAGGTGAATGACTTTGCTGTTTTTATCAATTTTCTCTAAAACTTATGAAGGTCTTTGATACTGTTGTAGGTTATTTTGTTTCTCAATATGTGTTTAATAAATAAAGTAAAGGTGAAGTGCAAAGGGTACTTTACAGAAGGATAGCACATAAAGTTACAAAGCGCTATTCCAAAGGAAATTGAGACTAACTTAGCAAATGAGGTTTGACATTTGGTAACTACAGATAGGCGGTTGACTCAGTTTGGTATGGTTTTAATTTGAAAGATACTCCTTTATTGAAGTTAGTAGTTAATAACATGTTTAAACTTTGAAATGGAAGGGGAGAAGTTTTACTCCCGGTTGTGAAATGATGAGCCCATTTATTTCAACCCCAGCCTTAATGAGATCACTTTAAAAAATGTGTTTACATGACTCAATCTTTTTTATCTACATATGCAGTGAGATTGGAAGCCTGCCTTACACAAAGGGTGGGTCAAAAAGCAGATTTGTAAATGCAGCCAGTACTCCAAGCTTTGCTATAGGACACTTTTGTTGTCCTTATGGTTTCTGACTGTTCCGGCAGTTTTCCCACAGAAGAAATGGTGAAGTGTAGCATTTTTAAACTGATATATTTTTATTTTTACAGCAAATGCTCAAATTAACACTTCCAGAAGTTGTGATGAAGATACATGTGTGTCTTGGAACTATGGACCATTATAAAATTTAAATGTTGTTGGAGATTTTCTTAATTCACTTTACTTTTTTACCAGTTATTCATTACAACTACGGCTTTCCTTTTAAGACTAGCTGAAAACTCCATGTGCACATCAACTATTGCATTTCAAACACTTTAATATGGGGCTCCGTATTAAATCCTCCATTTATTTATATTGTAGGTCCTGAAGGGACAAAATTATCTAAGTTGTGGGTGAAGCAGACAGGGCAGGAAAATGTCGGGGGTGCTAAAACTTCAGAACTCCATTAAGTTTAGAGAAGTTGAGGACCCTGAGTGCTTTTTCTTACCACCTTTTGAGCCCTCAGCTGATGAGGAGTTGGTCTTTGTGATTTTTCA